CCGCGATCTCGCCCACAGGAAGCCGCAACCGCGTGGCAGCAGGGAAAATGGCCGCGGCTCCGGGTCGTAACCTGAGGTAAATTTTTGCAGCCGGAGCTGGTTGTAACCCAAAAAATTCGTTAACAGAGGCGTTCGTAACCCAAGGTACCACTGTAGCATTTCCCTTAAGGGATGGTTACAGAAAACCCATATTCAATTTCAGACTATTTCCCATTAAAATTTGGCTTATTGTACAAGAAGAGATCTATTAAAATTATCCATCCTCAGAAAGACTTGTGGAATCTAATAGATTACTGAATGCTTTGGATGATTTTTTAGTAACTAGTCTTGCTGATCTTGTTGAGTCTCTGATCTTAGTATGGAATAGTGAGATCCAGTGGGCCATGAACATGATTGCTTATGAGTTCTCTTTTTGATGTTCTGAAATATGAGTTGCTTTATGATTTACCAGTGAGCTCTGAGCAATGAAACAGATTGGATGATAGCTAGCACCATAGGCAGAGAACCATAGTCAGAGAACTGGCGAGTCTGATGAAAATAGTAGTCTCCAGATGTTTTAACCACAATTTCCATCAGCCTCACCCAACATGGCATTAGATGCAGTTGATATGATTGGAAATCCAACATATTTGGAAAGCATTAGTCTGGAGAAAAGCAGGCTAATGTGGGTTATTTGCTAAGCACTTTGTATATCAAATCCAGTATAACTGAACTTACCACTGATAAGAACAGATACTACACTTGATCTTAGCCAAAAAAGGCTGAGGTGCACTAAAGGCCAGTTGAGCCTGAAATCTTCCACTTATATCTGTCACCATCTTGCCTTTTACTTTAGCTCTTGAGTGAAGAGATAGTTTCAGAGAATGCAGAACAAGTGCATTTTCAAAAAGATGCAGCTAATCACCTGTTTATTTGACCCATGGTCAAAAGGCCAAAGAAAAATTAGAGGAATGGTCGATTTGGCCCAGGAGGTGGTGAATGTCTTATCGAACAGTTCTCATTGTTCAAAGATTATGAGACCAGTTTTTAACAATCCCTTTTTAAACTGAGCCAACCCCTGATTACACACATCATTTTTGAAACAGTAGACTTGAATTATAACAGACTTGGCAGCACAGATTCAGGCATTCCTGTGTGCTGGAAACTCTCTCATCAATTTCACTCTAGCTTCTTGTCCAGCTTTTAGATTGAAACTAACTAACCTGAATGACATTTTCAATTTGCTGGCCAACCACGCCCATTCCACCATACTCCCCCCCCCCCATTTGATTCCTTCCTATTTTCTTTTTCAAGCTATAGTAAAACAAGCACATTTATTTAAGAACAGAGTTGGGAAAATATGAGATGGGAATGTGATTAAATTGAAGACAGATATGTCCTCAGAAATAAAACAAACTAGACAATCCTGTGACCTGTTGGGTCATCCTTTGAGAGAAAGGTGGTGCTAAATTTAATGAACATTAACTTTTAGGCTGACCATATTTTTTTACCCCAATTCTGGATGGTCC